ATGTGATTGCTGTCAGTCATGGCAGGTGTTCATGTTGTTCAGTGTTTCCTGCTTATGCTTATCTTCCATCCAGCTTTTTGCATTTAGTGTCCGCTGCCTTTCCAGGCACTCAGTCCAGTAAACGAGTTCTTTGTGAAATGAGCAGATTAATCAGAGACGCTGCTGCTGATGATGATGATGATGATGATGATGGTGGTGTTGTGGACACAAATCACACACCTCCTCTATGAAAGTGTATGTGACAGTAGCAGGAACTGGACTGTTTCACCCGTGTAAGGTTAGTAAATGGTTGAGGTTAGACACATAAAGCAAGTTTGGTTTCAGTTAAGGTTAAGTTAAGGCTTATTTGGAGTTAGGGAGTTAAAATAATGTGGTGAGAGCGAAGGTCAAACTAGGAGTTTTGCATGTTTAATTAAATGCCAGTCATTTTTCTAATGCATCCCATATATTTTTATTGATTCGACCCCTCCAGGCAGCCACTGGCTTTACTTTTATTAAAGTACACTGTGAAGCTTTATTTATAGGTTATTTATCACAGTAAACGTTTGTTTACTGTTTTTTTCTGTCAAAACTCCTTCTTGGTGCATTCAAGAACACTTTGACGTCTGAAATGTGAGAACTGACTGCTGAAATTAAACTCATTACCTCCGCCAAGGATGTTTTCGGTGCCGTTTGTTTGTCAGCAGGATTACAGACATTGGTGAAAGGGTGTGACATCCGGATCACGGCTGGATACACATACTATATATTTGACTTTCATTAACATTGCGTGATTGGTCGATAGTTATCCAGACAGATTAAGTGTTGCTCTTGGAGATTAGTGTATATAGAGGACTGGACTGTTGGCTTTGGCAGAGGTCCATGTTATGTTATGTCCACGTTGGATTTATAGATTCCGTTTTTTTTTAACAATAGACGTTAATATACGGCAAATTTAGGATGTTAAATTGTCCTTGAATGACCGAGCAAGGACAGTTCTCTCAGCACAAGAACTGGGGCTGTGAACCTGAAGTTTTGGCAATAATCAGCGCTTACAACTGGAGTACACGAAAC